CAGGATTATCGACCTCTCTGATCAGCCAGTGGGAATATTTGTTTAGAAGTCGTGAAGTACATATGCGATATGCGATTAATGTCCTTTATGATTGCGATAGACTATTTAAAAGAATAGTTTTAATTCTGAAATTCAAATAAACAAACTGACGTATGTATGCGAAAAGAAAAGACTCTGCTCCAAGTGCATTGTTAGCTTGGCTCTTCAGCTGCACTCAGACCTTAGAAGTCTCTGCAGACTGCTGCCATGTTAGTCAGCAGCAGACATATATTTATATAATATATGTAAATGGAAACTGAAGCTGCTTGCTTTTGGACTCGCTGCTCCATGAATTTGCACAGATCTCGTATATGCCCTTTGTCATACAGAAACATATTATAGTTGGGCGAACAATCGTCGTGTGTGTGAGTGTGTGTGTGTGTGTGTGTGTAAGTGCCAGTAAAATTGACACTAAATTTAAGCGGGGCGGCAACTGCAACTGATTATTATGAGTACATAAGCAGCCAGCGGAGTTGGGGAGGGGGCGAAGAAGATCCGGGGGAGCTGACGTTATACAACAGGAGGCCGCGAGCAAAAGTCAAGTGCAGAAAACAAAAAGAAGCCAAACTGCTGGCAGAATTTGCAATGACTGCCAGACAACAGTGAAAAAATTTGAATATAAAATGCGTTATGTGGTAAGGGACAGGCGAAGCTCGCTGCAACAAGCTGCGGCAACGGAGGCAACTGAGGCGACCGAGGCGGACAACCAGCAGCACGACAATGGCCAGATCCTGCGGCAACAATGAAATTGCGTATGTAAATTTGATGTCGTTACCAGCGGCTTCGGCAGCATTGCTGAAATAATTAAAGTGGAATGCGCCATGACAAAAAAAAAGAACAGAACTGAAAAAAAAGTAAAGCAAAAATAGTAGAAAATTCACAGAGGGGGGCCTCAGTATAAGTTGCAGTTGCCCCCCTTCCTGCCTGCCATCGTCCCTCCAGTAGACTGGCATTGCTTGGTAGCTTTTTGCCTCAGCTACCCACTTGTCCGACCGTATGCAAAGCAGCTGCAACAGCTGCTCTGACTCCTATTCGCATTGCAAATGCAACAACGACTCGACTGCGACACTGACGCTGATGCTGACGCTGACGCTGACTCTGAGTGCAACTTGTCAAAAAATGTCGCAACAACCGTGGCACTGGCAGGCAACACAGCATAAAGAATGAAAACGCTTTGCTTTGGCATAAATATGAGTGCCATCAAATTAATATGCGCCGCATATGGCTGACGATTTTGTGGTACAACATGTTAAGTGCATGCAAGGGCAGATACAGCTGCTGCTGCTGCCAGTGTTGTTGCTGCAGTTGCTGGCGCTGGTGCTGCAACAGCTGCTGCTGCTTTGGGACACTTGCATAATGCCAGCAGCAACGCCTCAGGATGACTCTTGAGCATCTTGGCTGGTTTTTCACACTCCTTGAGTGACAGGGACAGTCGCCAGGCACTGACTTGAGTTATGATACTTAGCTGCAGCCGTGCCGCTGCAGCGATAGCACTTTCAAAGCAACGCATCTGGGGAAGTGTCCACGTTTCATTATGCCGGCGCCTCAGCCAGCCGACTCCCGCCACTGTCCGCGGAGCAAAGCTTTTACTGAAATTGTCTGCCGCATGTTTGCCGCTGACATCCGAGAGGCGTCCGCACCCTCACCCTCACACATGTTGCACTGTCACCTCAAGTGGCGGCAGTTGCTGCAGCAGCCATCAGTAGGCAACTTTAAGTTTAGCTCGCCCCATAGCCTGTCTCCGCTGTCTTTGTCACCTGTGCCCTCTGTCAATTTCCCAAATGGGTCTTCCGCAATCCCGGCTGCCCGTGCTTTGACGGCTTCTGTTGATCATCCGAAAGTCATTTCACAGCAAATGCTCTATCCAACAGCTTGGCAACTTTTTACTGCCAGCGAATACTTAGCAAAGTTGAACACCTTTATATTGATACTGTACTTCTTTATAAATGATGAGAGCAATAGATATATGAAGTATTATCTTGAATATATTTTATATACAACACAGTTCTATCGATACACCATCGTTCTACGAATAAGCTAAGGGCAGGGTATCTGATTGTCGGCATTTTGATGTACACCCTTTTCACTTTATACTTACGATTTTTTGTCATTTGCACCGCTTGGCAACCTTCACGGAAAAACAAACGCGCAGCTGTCAAACGTGTCATACATAGATACGAGATGAAATGAGCAGCTTACAATAATAGAAACCTATCAAGATGAGCTCGGCATCGAAGCACTTATAAGTTATGAATGATTTCTCTTTAGCTGGAATCGAATTGATTTCTTCAATTAATGCCGCTGAATGATGCTCTATCATTCGCTGGCACAAGTTGCGCCAGGTTAATGGAATGTGAAATTTGTTGACAAAAACGCGTGAAAATTGTGCTCGATAGTATAAATTTGCGTGGGGAGCGTTTGGCAGCTGTTGATGCGGCCGTCCAATGGTTCAGTGGCTCGCTTTTTGGCAGGGCAACGGGCCATAAGCGTGGAGCAGCGCTCAGCGTCCTGCCTTGCCAGACACGCATTTATCCGGTCAAAGGGGCGTGTCTATGGCCAAAAGCATATTAGCCACGCATCACTGAGCAGCCGTCTCGAATGCTGCCCGGAAAAAGCAGCTGCTGTCCCATTTGATTAGAGTCTAGTTCGGGTTTAAAAGGATATATTGATAAAGGCATTGCTACAGCACTTGTCAGTGCGATTGTGCGTGTACGTGCGTGTGTGTGTATGTCTGATAATGTGTATAAAGGTGCGTTGTGTTCATGGAGTCAAAGGTTCGCTTTGACTTGCAATTAATTTGCTTTGTTTTTTGCACTTGACTGCGCTTGGACAGACTTACAAGCTGCCAGGCAGATAGATAGAAGGAGAATAAACAGAGTGACAGAGAGAGAGAGAGAGAGAGAGAGAGAGAGAGAGAGAGAGAGAGAGAGAGAGAGACAGGGGGAGAAAGAAGTTGGGCTGGGGGCTATGTGGCGGCAATTGGGCATTTTGCCGAACCATAAATTATTTTACTAAGCCACTTTGGCTTGCCCTTCGGCACGCCCCAAGTTATGTGAATTATTTTGCGAAAGTTAATTTCAGGCAATAAATTCAAAATCGCGTTGCCAACAATTCATGTTTCATCTGAATTTCTGCACTCGACGGGTTGAGGGGTTTTGTTTTATGGGTCTGTTGTTGTTAAGCTGTCCGTGTAATTAGTTGACTGAGTGTGTGTGTGTACGTGCGTACAGTGCCAGCCAAAAAGTATGCAACACAATTACAATTTCAGCAGGTGATTAAATGCGCTATAATTGTTTTCGCTGTGCTGTTATTGTTGTTGTTGTTGTTGTTGCTGCTGCTGCCTCGCTACGCTAATGGTCGCAATTAGCTGGCCAACCTGTGGGTAGTGGGGGGGGGGCTCTAATTTATGCTTTCGTGTCTTACAGCAATTTGTTGCTGCCATCGTCAGTGGCAACATTTAAATAAAATCAACTTTCCGCTTGCCAATAAAACTTTACACTCAAAACGATAATTGGCCGCATTTGTCGTCCCTGCCACTTGACTTTGTCTCCAGTCGTCTGCGGCGCCCCGTCGTGTGTGTTTGTGTTGGCGTCTGTGTTTACTCTGGCCGCCACTTGGGGCATCAATAAAAATCTCTTGATAAATGTCCAATTTAATTTTGGTCTTTTACTTATCTTTCGCCTGGCATGGCCCGGCTCGGCCCGGCTCAGCTCTCTTTGGCAAAGAGACTGCTGCTTGATGCTGCCATCGCTGCCGATTCCTGTTCCTGCCTCCGCCCCCCCCACATGGATTTCATTTCTTTTATGTGTACACTCAGTTTTTTTCCGCCTCTTTGTTGCTCTGATTCTATTCCCTTTTGCAGCTTCCATTTCTCACTTTGGTGGCTTCTTATGCTCTGTAATCATGATGTGGCCCAAATTGGGCATATTTGTGCCAACTAATGCTCTATCACAATTGAAATCGACGTTCCACTCGACAGACAGTTGAGCTCATGTATATTCTGAAACAGTTATTAAACATATTACATACTTTGAATTTATTTTAATGAACCTTTGCCTAAAGTGGAAACATAATAATATGAATTGTAGGTATGAGGTAGCTGAAAAGAGTACAGATATGCAGAGAAATGAAAGGCGAGAAGAGCTGTATATAGATATATAAAAGTAGAGCATATCATAGCAATACTGAAGAAAAAGCCAGAAAGTTCTAATCTAGTCCGACCCTGTACCCTGCCATTCAGAAATTTCTATAAATAAATATATATAAATGTATATGTATATATACATTACATATACATTACAAACAACATATGCACACAAATTTAAGCACACAAACGTAGAGCTGAGTTCACGCAGAGGCTGTGCTTGTCAGTAGTATGAGACTTACTTGAGAAATTGAAATATTTTATAAATGTCTTTCTTTGACAAATTTGTTAAGCGTAAAACTCTTATATCTGTATTTCTCTAGTAATTTTGAATATTTTATAGAACAAAAGGTATTGTATGCTTAACATATATTAAGAGCATTCCAGTTACTGTGAAAAACAGAATATGAGAAAAAATAACATAAGTTATCGAAAAGAATAAAAGTTGTTTACGCAAAGCTCTTCTAGAAACAATTTTTACAGTTTTTTTTCCCAGCTGAGAGTAGAGTCGATAGTCATGTATCTATAAATAAGGGAAACCCAACTTGGTCTGTAATTCAAATATTTACTTATCATTGAAACTTAATTAGGAAAAGTGAGGATATCTAATTGTAAGCACATCAGAAAGTTGAGCAAAGCAAGGCAGCAATTTGTTCTTACTTGTCTTCGCAGCATCAATTCAAACGCATTCCTGCTATGTGCAATAGATTTATATTTCTTTTTTCTTTCTCCGGCAAAGTGAAGCATTTTATTTCTCATTTTGAGTTCAGTTGCGCTTTAAAGTCAATTTAATTTGTCTTACCATCTTTACTTACAGACTTTGCCGCCAGCAGCCGGCGTCTGGCGCCGGAACTGTCTAACGGGTAAGAAATATGCTCCGGCTCTGATTTAATTGAACTAGCGCCACTCGCCCCGGGCAGCGGAATGAGGAGAGAGCATGGCCAAGACGTGGCCAGCAGCTGCATTCCACTTTCTATTTTTCTGGCATATTTTAGGTGTGGTGGCTTATTAAACAGCAGTTGACACTGGATACCGTGCCGGAGCTGCTGCGCCTTGGCTAATGGCGGCCATATGTGGCCCGCACGGAGACGGGCAAATATTGTCTCATTTTGTATGCTGTGCCACCGAGGCCAAAATCAATAAATCAAAGCCAGGCTGGCGGGCAAGCCGTCTGGCGCTAAGGCAGGTTCTTCAAGGCAATGTCTCGCATATCGCACGTCGGCGCGTGCCACGGCCACAGCTGGGGCAGGCGACATATTTGCGTGCTGCAATGCAAACAATGCCCCACCGCCCACATCCACATCCCCTATGAGCCTGCTCCACCAGCATTAGCAACCGGGTCTGCCTGGCTGGCTGGCTGGCCACGCTCACTCACGCCAAGGTCATGTGCTGACACGTTTGTTGCGCTATCGCAGCGCTCTTCTGATAGCAGGCCCAGAGGATGCCTGCGTTGCCCTCGTTGCCTTCGCCTGGCAACAGGTTGGGAACGCCCCATGGACAAGCGAAACAGTGCACATTGGCCAATACGATCTAAATGATGCATGTATGCCTGATGCATGCTTGTATGTGTCTGCATGTGTGCATGTGGGTGTGTGTGTGGGTGTGGGTGTGGGTGTGTGTGTGGGTGTGTGTGCTTGGGCCAGCACACCACAGTAGCAAATACGCACAGGCCCTAACTTTAAGCAGCTCAAAAGTTTTGCGTTTTAAGGGCTTAGCCCTCAACTCAGTCCCAGTGCCCGCACAGAGCAATCCAACTCAATCCCAGAGACCCTAGAGTACGGGTCTGCTGCTTTTTATGCTACGCGCTGTGGGCTTAAAAAGCAATTCCGCAACTGTTTTTGCAATGGCGCACACCATGACGACATGTGTGCTTTTGCCTCAACCAATGCCACTCTCATGTGTGTATGTATGTGTGTGAATGTGCAAGTGTGTGTTAAGGCCCCTCCCATGTGGAGTCCTCATGCCGAACCCCTTGGGCTGGCAACAAAGCTAGAGCAATGCCAACAATGCTGTCGTTATCGTCGTTTTCACTTCAATTAAAAGTTGGCAACTTTTCTTGCCTGGTTTACCTAGACGGCACTTTTACTGCTTCTGCTTCTGTTTCTGCTTCTGCTTCTGCTACTGTTGTTGGCTGGCGCTGCTGCTGCTGCTGCTCCAATTGCTATTATGCAGATTCGTATGGCTGATTACCAAATTACAAACTGTAATGGCAGCAATTGTTTTGTGTACAGCTGGCATATGGCATGCCAACGACAAGTAGGCCGCCAATTGTCACAGTAAACAAACAAACAAAAAGCAAATAACAACAACAACGAAAATCGAGTGAAAATGCCGCTAAATGCAGTCAGGGGACGACACGAAGTCGTGCTAAGCCAAGTGCACTTTGCCAAGCATATGCCACATGCAACCTCCAACATGCAACATGCAACATGCAACGCGCAACACAAGTAGTTGACACACTCCCACAGAGAAGGTCACTTTGTTCACTAAAGTCTCTCGCTTGTTTAAAGCACGTATGCGCCGCGTGGGCCCAACGACTTCCGTGCTATTTACGCACCACCGCGTTGCTTGGCTCGCTGCCCACCGCCTCCTGTCGTTGCCGTTGCCGTTGCCGTTGGCTGCTGGCTTCTGCCTGCTGGCTGTAGCCTGCTTGACTGTCAGGAATTTCCGCGAACGTTAATTGCGACAAGTCAACACTGGCTTCTGAGTCAAAACGACAAAGGAATACCTTTTTCTGTCCGCTCCTTCATTACACCTTTTGTGCGATGCTGCACAAACGAAGGGGCGCACAATACCCTTTATATTGACTGTGTTGCACTGCAAAAGGCATTCCAGAGCACAATTTACACATCGCCCCAAGAAACGGTCTACTCGCTGAGCAAACTGGAATAGAAATGCCTATGCATTCATTTTATATATTCAATATAATTTTAAATATATATTTCAATGGGAATATGTATAAACAAATAAGGGTATTCCAAATTTGATCAGTCGCATAAACTCCTGAATTTCTTAGAGTCTTGCCCTGTTGTTAGCAGTCGAAACCACAACAGCAGCAATGCCTGCTCCGCTCAGCAATTGCACTGCTCTGGGAGAGAGGTTGGGGACCCACTTTATCGGCATGCCACTGAAGTTTGTCGCCTTCGCCTCAGCTCTTTGCCATTCGAGAGATTTCCCATGTACGTATATATTATAAGTATAGACATGGCTATATATATGTACATCTATATGTATGTATGTATATATTTAGCGCCTTGCTTTTTTCCATCGTGTCATTAAAATTGATTTTGCAGCAGACAGCAAAAGGAGTTGAGGTGGGCAAAGGAGCCAACCACTCGCTGTTAGCTTTTCTATTTGCCAAACGACAAAGAATTTGCTAAATTGCTTTTCCGCTTGCGGCGCACACCTTGCCGCAGCCACAATTGTTGGCAGTGCGTTTGGCTTTGCAATTAGTTTTTGCCTTTGGCCGCAACTAAATGTTGCATTGACTGTTTACCACACAAAAGAAAAGCAAGAGATGGAGACAGAGAGAGAGAGAGAGAGAGAGAGAGAGAGAGGGAGATTAAAAGAAATAGCTGGAGAATAAAATGGGAAAGTGTAAGAGAAAGAGAATTGAGGATATTCACACGCAAGATTCTTTTCGATTCCATTGTGTGCGTCAAGTTATAGTTGCAACTTTGGCAACTGTAGCAAAAGCGATTAAAAGTCCCATAAAAACCTGAGCCCATTAATAGCGCAATAATATTATCAGCTTATGTTCGATGCCATGCACACAATCACATAATCGCACAGGAAGAGGAAACAGGAACTCCTACATGGCGTATGCGGCAGACGTAGGCTTACACATACTCGGTGTAGCAGCAGCAGGAGTCGGTAGCGGAGTACGGGCAGAAACTAAACTTTGTCTCTTGTATTTTCATTAACATTTATTGGTTTTTTACTTATACTTCCGAGAATCATAACTCGACTGTGGTGGATGGGGGCCCTGCCCGTCTATACTAAGTTAGTGCGAGTCTGCGGGCCAAGGGAAGCGGAGCCACAATATTTTCGGGTCGTATCAGCGTAATCATAAAATAACGTTAATGACGGCAACAAGGTCGTAAAATCAAAATTTCTGCTATTTCAACGCTGAAACCCGCTGCGGTCGACGCGGGCTGTGCTTGGCGTCGCTTGAGCTGCAAACTTTGTTACATTGTTGATGCGAGCTTTGATGGGCTGCCTGGGCTGGCTGGGCTGATGAGGCCATCATTTGTGGCCCTGATCCGTCCAGCACGCTTATCGAAGACAACAATGTGAGGTGCGCGTACAATCAAACGTATTTAATTACTTTAAGGCCAGACTGCGGTCAATCTTCATATGCCTAAATATTATATTTCATATTCCGCTTCATCTCTTCTCAGCAAACAGAAATGGCATTCAAGTGAATTTGATTCAGATATTGTACAAATATTGAATAGACGCAGCGCTCACCTAGAATAAAATCCGCATTTAAACTGGATTTATTTAAGCACCAGCGATTTTGGGTTATTTAAATAAATTTTACATTCAATATACTTGTAAATTTTATATTATGTGCTGCCAAAGCAACCAGCATGAGTGAGTTCTTTCTCTGTGCATGTGAGTGTGCGTGGGTGTATGTGTATATGTGTGTGTGTATTTTTGTGTGCGCTGTGGGCCGTGCAGGATTTTAAATATTCATTAGACAAGCGGCAGCTGCCTGACTGGCTGCCTGGATGCCTGGTTAACGTGGCGCAAAAGACAATCTGAGAAACAAACCCTTTGCCTCTGACGTCAACGTCATCCTGGCCGTCTCCGCAGTCCTGGCCTAGTGAAAAACGGCATTTGAAACTAATTTCAATCACCCCGAAATTTGAGCCGCTGTGATGCGATTCAATGGCCATCGAAAATTGTAAATTGAATAGCGCAATCATCAAAGATATGTGGATGGATGGATGGCTCTGGGCTTGACAAACCAAAATTCAATGAATTTCCACAAAGAGTTTTGGCTATTTTGTGGTACATTGTGAGCCGGGTTTATTGCCTGACTAAGGGTTTATATATCACGCGTTCAGATTTTATCACTCAAGCGTTAAAATGTCGTAAATGTCTGTGTCATTCTGTGTGCGGCCTAAGTAAATCAACATAAAACTTAACTAAATGAAGACAATCAAAATGCGACCGAGCCCCGAATTGCATATGTCAATTTTGACATCCGCATGGCCAATAGAGAGCTACAGAATTGAGTTACATAGCTGGTAGCACTTGTTTGTCCTGTCGTCAAAGCCGCTCAGCCCGGCTGCGGTTGCCTGCCAAATTATGCTATGCTTAGAGTTTGCCTTTTGCCCTCATTCCCTAGGCAAGTCGTATTTGCAGCAAAAGGCAACAGCAACAGCAGCAACAGCAGCAGCAGCAACGAGAGCAACAACAATGGCAAAGCAATATGGTAAACTATATAAAAATTTGCCAGGGCACCGCCCCAGTGGCCCAGCGGCCGGGCTGATGGACAAAAGGTCAGAGAAACAACAGCAGCAACAACAGCAACAAAGCAACAAGAACCACAGTAAGGCCATAGTCATTCTCGTCATTGTGCTGGGCCTGGTCAAGTGGCTGCCTGTCTGACGGGCCAGCCGACTGGACTGGACTGGAGTGTACGGGCCGGACAGGCCAGACAGGCTGGACAACATTTACAGCCACGAGCAGCACAGCAGCAGGCACAGCTACAATAAAGTCTTTTACTATCCTAATAAAAGACAAACAAAGGACTCTTGGTGATGATTCCGTTGCTGCGTCTGTTGTTGCTGCCGGGACCATTCTCGTATCGCAATTTTCATTATTTTATTTCCCTATAAACGAAGCCATATTT